ATCAGTAGGAAGCAAAGAAAAAAAGGTGGCTTCTGCTGCCAAAGCAAACAGGCAGCCCTTCGTCTGTTCTCTTATCCTTCATTCTCTGTTTTTATTCATTCGTGTTACAGCTGAAATCAGCAGGCTCTCCAGCTGTAGAAGGACAATGTACATTTTATATACATCTTCAAAAGGGTTATTAATACTAAGAATGAACGTTATAACACTGCTTTACTATTACATTTATTAGAACTATTGTACATTGACTTGTAAACAGAATCACTGTTGTTGGATTGAGGATTTCCAGTGCTCTAAAAGCACTAAACAGGTGAATCAAAGGTGTTTTAAGACATAAATATTGTTTATATAAGTGAACTAAATGCTCTGCATACTGTTGTGTCTGCTTGGTACTGTGTCTGTGGTGACTTAAGTGGAAGAAAGTTAGTAACTTTTCTGTTGTGGATTATACTTTGAAAGGAGGCAGACAAAACCCTTTTTATACTCATAGAATATGAATCCAATCTGATCATCTTTTATATTATGTTTAAGCTCCAAAGTCAGTGTTTAGGTTTTTGTATATTTCCACTTGTCATGTTTCTGTTTTCATTAACCTAACAACCTAATTTCAAACCAATTCTGCAAAGCAGCCAACGTCTTTATTTACAGCTATCATCAGGCTGTACAGAAATACACATTGACCCAAAAAGACCCTTTCTCTTCTACTTCCACTGCAAAAGAGATTTCAATAAATCAGTGGATATTTTTATTTATTGCGGTGAATTATTAACTCATTGATAGCCCTTACTTAAATCATTTTGTCCCAAAGTTGAAAAATTCACAAGCAGCCAAATCCATAATTATCTTACTCAATATCCTGCATCTGAGTAAAGGGGGCTTGCACGAGGCCCAATGCAACAGCTGTTATGCAGTCAACAGGAAGCCATAACCAATGGCGTGCCATCGTTTATATAGCTTAATAGCTTTAGCTATTAAAAGCTAAATGGGTGCATCCAATCACTAATTAAGGCTGCTGCACAAGTGGGCTCAAGTGGGTACGTGATTTCAAACATCTTGTAGGCTGCACTTTTTAAAAACAGACCGTCAACCACACCTCCCTACTAAGATAAAAGTTTTTGTCCCTTCCTTGCTCAGAGTTGCTTTGAAAATGTTTCCTAAATCACTCTGAAGCTATAAATCCTTGCTAGGATTTTTTAAGCTAAGTTAGGAGTTCTTTGGGGGGATTCTCAGAGTGTTTGTGACTACGGGCCCTGGTGTGTTGACTACAGAAATCCAACCTTAGCAAATCACATTATTTAGTTATCATTGGAAAATTACTCCCGCTGTTGCTTCTACTACGGCTAAAAAATGACCCTTCTTACCCCTGACCCAACACTCACTGTTTATATTTTATATATATTTATATATCACCGTTAAAAAATGGAAAACTGAAGGCTAACATTAAATATCATTGGGTCAGTGGAACGAGGTAGACCACAAAGGAACTGGGTCAGCCGTGCATCTCCTTATCCTTAGCTAGCCTCTACTTCAGCCCCCCCCCCATCCCAAACATTATTTAAACCCCTTTACATAAAACTCTTTTCATCATGCATCCCACATGCTCCACACATATGTTCATTATAACACAGACACACACACACACACACACACACACACAACACAAGCTAACTGTCTTCAGCCTACTGTTGGGATGTTTTTGACCTTGATGCCCTCCCAGCGCTGAGACAGTTTAGCTGCTATTATTATCACTGACACACACACACACACACACACACACACACACACACACACACACACACACATTCATCTGTACACACACAAATGCATACATGAATGTACTCATTCATGTTGACATGCACAAGCACACACACATGCAGCCAAGCCCCCCCTTCTCACGCACAAACACATACTCCATTTCAAATTCCACATTAGCGCTGTAATGTTGCTCTGTCTTGAAGCCCCTCACCCATCAGGAGTCCCTCGAAACAACTGATGAATGGTCACGCAACAGGTTGAGGCCTCCATGGGTGGCCCTATCTGATCAACATGCTCCAACATGGGGCCCTTCGCCTCTCAACCATGGAGTGGAAAATTTAATGAACACATCAGACTGTCCTGGCATGGCCTTCTATGTGCTTTTGGATAAAAGACCATTCCCTTTAAATTGTACCCGTGTCCACATACGTTGTGTTGTTCTTTATTTGGGGCCTCTACAAACTCAAACAAGAAAAGAAAAATCTGAAGTTATTTAAACAAACGAACATGTTTAGAGAGATAAGTACTGCGTGTTCAGGATGTGCACATCCTGATTGGTTTAGCTCTCTCTCCTGACGAGAAGAATTGTTTTGTTTAATTTGTAATAGATTAAGGCTCTATTTATGCCATGAAAAGCTGTAATCAAGTTTTAGCTTTTGTTTTGGAGTTTCCGTATAACAAACAAGGAAGTGAGTTAATCAGATGGTAGCTGATGACATCCTCGCATCCCTTCCTAATCACCAGATATAAACTTAGATTTCTGGTTACCTACTGTTTGCCTTTCTTGAAGTAAAAGCATACTTAGTATGAAGTAGAGATAGAATGTGTTGAATATATGGATTATAGGAGTAAATGATCCATGATTTTGACTCCTTGTTTTAAACTGTGTGTCTTTAACTTTGTCTTAAAAGGATTGCCTAAATAAATATGTCATATAAATGTTTTTTTAGGGTCAGTTGAATTTAGTTGGTAGAGCTGTGGCGTCTCTCGACCGGAAGGTCGAGGGTGCAATCCCCTGCTTCTGCCTCAACATGTCTTATGTGTCCTTGGGCAAGAGACTTAACCTCAAATTGCTCCTGCTGCTTTGTCGGTGGCGTATGAATGTGTATGAATGGGAATAGATGGTTCTTATGATGGTTCTTATGATGGTTGGGTTATATATGTCTGGTTGTGTATCGTGCACTTTGGGTTCTTTTCTGTTGAATTGTATTTAATTATTTTTGGTATTGTGCATCTGTTATATTCTTACTGTTGTTAATGTTTTCTGTGTTTGGTTTAGTTTGCTTTGTTCTTCTTTTTGTTGTTTGTCAAAGCACTTTGTAAACCTGTGTTTTTAAAAGGTGCTATATAAATAAAGTTATTATTATTATTATTATTATTCTGATGGTCTCAATACATAGCAACCTCTGCCATCAGTGTGTGAATGGTTAGGTGTGCCATGTGGTGTGAAAGTGCTTTGAGTAATCAGAAGACTTGAAAAGTGCTATATAAGCTCAGGTCCATTTACCATTAGGAAAAAGGTTATCTGTTCTTCAAAGATATTCTTCTGGAGAGAAAAAAAAACAGCTGTAGATCAGTCAACACAACTAAACACAGTGTATACATAATCACATTATATAGTCAGCTGAACTTAATGTACAGTGTGACCTTGAATGTGGTATAAGACAGAGTCTTGAGTGTTGGCTTCAGTCTCTAACCATCTTAAGTACATGCTGCGTTCCCAGTCATGGCGCCAATAAGCCCATGAGAGCAACACACATTTAACCCTGCAACCCTGCAGCAACTCCCTAATCCATACACCCAAGCCCAGCCTGAGATACGAGATATACTGTTCCTTCTCATGTGTGTAAAGTTGAGTGCTTATGTGAGAGTGTGGATGCTTAAACAGTCACACAGAAAAGTGTGTGTCAGTGTGTATTTGTCGTGGCCACAGCTCTTTTCCTTACATAGCAGGGCTTGGCTCAAGTCTTGTGTTTCACTCTGCAGGGAGCACACACATAAACATACACACACATACAAACACACACAGATCTATGTTCATGGGCAAGTCAGTCATCCATTTCAGCTTCAACTTTGACCCATATCCACTGCTATGTTTTCTGTCAGTCTGTATTCATGTATGTTTGAATGCCAGAGAGGGAGAGATGCGGGAGACCAGTGGAGAGAAAGACAACCAGCTGGGGGGCCATTTGGATTTCCATAGCATGCAACTGGGTTGACTGAGTTCACATGTGTGAACCCAGTTTGCCTGCAGTAAGGCAAGGTGGCCTGATCTCTCTCTTGTCCTACTGCGTGATGCAACACTTCATGCAGCTCTGGGCATGTTCTCTGTTGAATTTCAGAGTGAAGAGAAGTTGAACACTGCAGCAGTAATTGGGATTTTTTAAAGAAGTAAGGACATCTGTACTGCTGAAACCTGCCTATGGCACTTTTAAATGGATTCTAAGGAAACGTTCTTAACAGAGTGAGATCAGCTTGCACATCAGGGTGTGAATGGTCTCGTCTCCCCGTGGAATAAAACTGAGAATTTCCATCTAATTAGTTTGTAAATGATTCATAGTTTATCCCATCTGCCCTCATGTTTTACATTTCTCCCTGTGTTTCAAGGTATTAATGTTGTGAAACAGCTGTTGACAGATTTCGGTTGAACACTGAATGACACATGATATCATTTTACATTTTCCCCATCATTAAGTTCTTACCTAAGTGACTTAAGTCTTACCTTGCCAATACTTGAATTGACAGAGTGGTGCATGGAGACACTGTTGAAACAAGACATGCTTTGTTTTGTGTTTGCACACATACTGAAGAAATTACATCACATCACTTATAACTGCTGTAACCTGGCTGTCACTCCAGCCCCTGAAGTGTTCACTGATCAGTATTCAGTTAATTCAACATGTCAGTATAAACTTTGAATTAAGTCTTTTTTTTTTTAAAGATTATAGAAACAAACAGTATCAGTATGTTATCACAATTTCCCTGCATCGCTGTATCACTGCCATATATATGTCATCCTGTAGGACAATTTAAAAGGAATGCTGGCACTCTGATGGTTTCGAGGATTCAGATGCCTGCCAGAACTCCACTACATTTAATTACTCAGTAGTAAACTCTACATCAGTCCTGGAAGACAAGCTGATTTATGCTCAGACCACACACACAAGCACGCACACACATGCACAAGGTGCTCACATTAATTACATTTCTACTGTCTCTCTCCATTTCTTATTCTTATTTTCTATCAGATGGGCCTTGGCTCAGAAAGCCAGCAGAGGAAAAGAAAGGCTCCAGCCCCTCCTCCTACTCCAGCCTCCATCACCCCTGAAGACACTTCACCATCTGAAGCTCCCACCCCCGACAGCTACGCTACTGAAACCCCTACCCCAGTCTTCCACACTAAGGAAGTACAGTCGACTACCCACTCTGCTACTACTGTGGTAACACAAACAGTAAAACCAGCCCACTGGAAAACAGCAGATCCATCTCCACCTGTGTCTGCTCCAACCCCAACCCCCAGTTCTCCAACCCCGAGCAGCAGCACTACAGACAGCCTGGCCATCCAGGACTCAAGCTCTGAACTCAGCCATAGTCTGGATGACTCAGACGCTGACCTAGACCAGGCTGGCTCCCTCAGCACACTCACCAGTAGCAGCACAGCTAGCGGTTCTGTGCAGCTCCAGACCGTTACAAAAAGCACCAGCAGCAAGATGGAGCAATCGGAAAAGACCAGCAGTGTGGCTGGCAAATTTGATCAAGAGGTAACGTCAGCCAGCAGCTCCAGGTCAGAGACCGAGTCGGCCCTTAACCTGAAACTGGATGAAGTTGAGAACCAGAGACACAGTGCAATGGGTAAATATCTGTAAAATAGCATTAAAACAGACACTCAGAAAACAGCACCTGAAACAACCCTTTCATACTAGTAAGCATTCATTACTCTCAGTTTAAGACATCTTAACAAAACAAGACAAACTGGACACCAAAATTGCAATTTTTAAATTCCTGAACACATCAGTATATAGGCAACAAGAGAAATGCCCTGTGACAGGGCCATTTTAATGTTGTTCTTAGCTTTAGTATCTTCCATCAGTTACTCAATGAATTCTACTTCTATTTGAACTAACTGGAAGATTGACATTTATTGATCATTTATAAGTTTCCCTTTGTGACACTTAACATACTTACCGCTATTTGATACCACACTGTAAACGATACAAATTCTGTTTTTCTTTTCCATGATTGATGGTATCAAAAAGAACTCAAGCTTTAACAAAATGCAAATCTTTTGTCATATTATAACCCAAAGCTCCAACTTTTGTCTCAGAGAACAGAGGAGTTGACACTGTCTAAATTGCACAAATACATTGGCAACGTTCATGTATTTGTGCATTTTAGACAATATGCAGGGGTTTGCTTGCAGTTTTTGGTAATGACAAAGAAGAAATTACCCAATATCTGCTGCCCAGGACTTATACTGTTGCTCCTGTGGTATAGAAACACATATCTATATCGTTTGGTTTTCCAGTATGAAAGTTTAAAACTGGTACTGTAGCAAATTTAGATTACACTGCACAAACAATTTATCGAAGAAGGTGAACTTGGCCGATGATGTCTGAACCCTTGAGAATGATGGAATACACTTTCTCTGTATGTTAAAGAAGTAAGACAGTTAAAAGTTGCCTGTAGAGTTTTTCTACCTTTTTCAAAAGTGACTGAATGTCTGCCCCGGAGAGCAAAGCTGTCACCCTGCAGCAACATCTGAAACTTAAACTGTCAACGATGACGTACATTACCTGGTGAAAGTGTGTGTGTGTGTGTGTGTGTGTGTGTGTGTGTGTGCGCGCGCACGTCATGGCTGAAGTACAAGAACTTGAGGAGCTGGTTTTCATCATAACTTGTGAGACAATGCAGTCCTTGTCTCTCTCGCCTACGCTTATCAATCCCTTACTTTCTTCTTATCTTTCTCTCTTTTTTTTCTTGACTCTTTCTCTCTTTCTCCATCACCTTCTTTATCTCTCTCATATACATGCAACCGCTCGCACAAAACCTCAAAGCTGGCAGATGCAAAGACAGACAGATCCATCATAGATTTAAACAAGTTGAACTTCAGCTGGCCTCGTATTGATCTTTATATAACCTCGATCTTTCCCTATAGCAACGTGAGATTGCAGAAGAGGGCCGTTGTGTCTGACAGGGGCAGAGATTAGAGAGCTGCAGACCTCAGAAAAAGTGTTGGGAAAGGTGACGGTAAAAGAATGGAGTTCAGAGGAAGGAGCATGGGAAGGCTTTGGCATCCGGATGACAGGGAGGCAAGGTGGTAACAAGGGGACTAGGGGGGTTTAGGCAAGGAGAATGATGGACAGGCAGATTAAAGGAAGCGAAAGGATGAAGTATGAGAAGGTTAGTGCCTTAGTCAGGATATAACAGACAGCAGTGGGATCTTTAATAAATGTATGGACCCAGCCACTTCCTTTCCCTCTGTCCTGACACTGCTGACAGTGCATCATCTTCTCTTTTGCTTTGACTATTTCCCTCTTTCAGTTTTCCTTTCTTCCCTTTACATTGTTTGAAATGTGGATCTACTGTGAAATAGTTTTACTCAAATAGTTTCATTCTCTCCAGCAGCCCTTATTGTCCTTCTCACAACGCCAACATCCGTTTTGCACATGACTATTAACATGTTCTTTTTTCAGTAAAGCCTGACAGCTGCACTATTTTGATGTAAATGAACAGTTCATACCGTGGCAGGAATAAATAGCTGGTATATAAGTTAGGGTTTGACAGCTACACCCAACATGCACAGTAAAGGGTGGTGCCCTCATGGGTGTATAGGCGGGGACAGAAATGTACACACTTTATTAATTAGGTCTAAGTCAGTCTTTCATTTCTCTAGGTTTGATTTAGTCTTTAATTTATGGAGCTTGAACACAGCATTTCATTTGGGCTAAATTGATGTGTATGTCAAACTGTATGCCATTTCCTCTTGGTAACTTTATGACCAAGATATCAAATTCTATTGAGATGGAGTTTTTTTTAAGAGTAGTTTTTTAAAACTTGCTTTCATAATTTGGAGTTATACCGTGGCTTAAAATACAGCTGCTTTGCTTTTGCAGTCATCTGTGGGGGTCTGTGTTTGTGTGCTCCAAAGCTGTCAAGGTTATGATGTTGTTGTTTATCATCTCAGCCCTGCATGCGGTTTTACTTCCTTCCTATTGTTGACAACAGAGCAAACAGAAAAAGCAGCACATTGACAGCACCTGCTGACTAAGACTCTGCACGCTGATGCATTGCTGGTCATATAAGGACATTAAGGTGGCCATATTTCAGCAGGGCGGTTTTACAGTAGTTTGCCCTTACAACCCAATATGTCATCCAGATTGATTGTGTCCTTTTCGTCAGGCCACATGTCTTAAAGCATTACCAGTCTTCTGTGTGTACTAATGTCTTTATATATTGCGCAACATTTTTCTCAAAAACTCCCTTCTCGCTTCCTTCAAATGTTCATGCCTCTTTTAGAAAAGGTCAAATTGGACCTGTTTTCTGGCAAGAGAGAGAGTGATATACATGCTTATTATCATTGACATAACCTGCAGCTCTTTATCCAAACTTAGTCATCCAGTTTCACTGCCAAGTGCCAGTTACATCTGCCTAGTTGTAGTAACTTCAAAATAACTTCAGAATGGTATTTCTTAGTTATTGAGTGAAAATGAAAGCCTTAGTAACAATTCAGAAAAGTAAAAAATCATCAGTTCCCCTAGCACACCTCTTAAAAGTTTGTCCTCTACAGACCCTTGTTGTCAAAGTTTGACAACGTTACATAAGATGTGAAATTCTGCAGCAGCAGTGGTAAACACTTACATCTGAATGTACAGTAAACACTGGAGTAGCTTACATGGATCAGCAGACAAAGAAAGAGTTTCTGCCCACAGAAGCTCAAACTTCCTCAGAAGCAAAATTCAAGGATAAAATAGCCATTGTTTGAATAACAGGAAGAAATAACAGACGTTACCAGAATAAATAAAAGACAAAGATCAGGGTGATTACATCATGTTTTACTGTGCCTTTTTAAGTTTCATCAAAGAAAGTTGGAATTAAGAATGTTTTTGCTCCCAATTTTTTTTCCAAACATGACCACCAGGGCTTGCCCTGCCTGCATGCTGTTTGTTCTACAGGATCCTTCAATCGACCAGTGCCACCAAAACCTCGCCGTTACCCAGCCCGGGAGTCACCCAAGCTTATCCTCCCCCCTACCCCATCCCCCCCTCCCAATGAGCCCACAGAAATCAACTTCCAAGAGAGTTCCCTGGAGGAAGCGGCTCCCCAGTGTAGGTTCCAGATGGACTGCCTCTCCCCCTTTTTCACACCTTTTTTTCTTTCCTAGAAGCTGCTCTTCTGATTTGATTTGATTTTCCCCAATCAGAAATGTGTTTTTTCACGACTGTCGTTTAGTGCCAAACCTTTTCATGTGCATGTGTGTGTTTATGTTAATATTGCACTCTGCATGCTCTCCATCTCTCCATCAGTGACCTGGGCAGTTAAGTGATACTGACTTCATGTGAGGTCAAGGTGCTTCATATCTATAAATGTCAGCCTGTAAGCAGTATTATTTCTTCTAGGTCCAAAAGGTCAGGGTCAGGGTCAACACCAATCAACCTGAGTGCCTTTTAAAAAGTACATGCCAGTATAGTAGATATAAAATATAATGGAAGGCATTGTTGAGTGATGAACCATATGTAAGCCACCTTATGTTCCTGTTTATGTTCTCCTGACAAACGCTCTTGTTTTTCTATTCTACTCTTCATTGTACTGTATGTTGTCCTCAGTTTTCTAATTAATGTTGAGTTTTTTTTTTCTCTTTATGATCCCGCTAAGTGATATGATCATGATCTAGCTATCTGAAATCTTATCTGCTCTTTTCTCTACTCCCCACCCCGCACCCTGCTTTCTGTAGTGTACTGCTGTGGGCCTGTACGTCTGCGCTCCAAACACTCCTGAAGTCCTGACTCTTCCTACGTCCAAAACTCCTTTCCATCAGTCCCCTTTGCTTTGTCTCTGCCTTCCTGATTTCTGCTGGACCTCCCTCTTGATGTTCATCACCCTTTTTTCATTCTTTAAAGACATTTTCTGGTGTTTCTTCTCTACTCTTGTATATGTCTTTAAGGTCTCTTTGCTATCGTAACGTTGATCATAAAATTGAATTACTTGCTTTCACTTGGTGCCACAGTCCCTGGGATGGCTTCGGTTTGATTATGTTAAAGACACAAAGGGCTGCAATGAAAGCAAGTCATGCTCTCCAATTTCACTCTTAGAGCAGTGCTTACTCCTGTTTTTTTCTTCCATTCTTTTTTAAAGAATGTATGTATATACTGTTGGTGGTTTTGAATTTCAACGTAATCCGCTGTTTTTTGTATTGATTGCGAATGAGATCAGAGCTGAGCTAAAAGTGGACGCACAGAATGTGGTCAGAGGACTATACAGTGACAGATGAGCTGAACCCTGGACGTATCGGTTACAGTGTGATTGATGAGTGACGTGCTGAAAGGAGGCTATGAGGCAAGACCATGTGATATCTATCAGTCAATATTTCAGTGATGTGATATCTGTGGATCAATAGTTGGACAGCGTATGTTTGTCTTTCTGTGCCGGGTGTTGCGGCCTGATTTAGAAATCTGAGACCTGAAAGGCATGCTGCCTTTAGCAATATTGTAGGCAGGGTGATCTATCAATGACATTTTGATTCTAGATAGTGTTGCTTTAAGACAAATGACAAAAAAGAAAAGAAGACCTTACAGACCTCTTACAAAGAGAACTCACTGCAGCATACTTACAAAGAAAATTACATCACATGGTCATTCGTTGTGGAACTGTTGTTATCACCAATAAGAAGCAATGTACATTGTTTGGGTGCAGAGACAATAAAAGAGTATCACTTTAATTTTGATTGAAAACCGAAAGATTGTGTCATGAAGCACACAATGTTTACAGTTATGAGTAGGGCTGGGAATTGCAAAGTAAATCATGATATGATACAATACGATACGTGGCACACACAATAACGATATTATCAAGATACAGCGGTACTGTGATAATTGATACAATGATACATCATGACATCTGATAAATGAAAGAATCTAAAATGCCCCTGAAAAGGTAAAGTGCAGGACTATTCACTGCAATTTGCTGTCGGTGTAACCTCTGATCGTACTTCATCCTGTGCCGTTCTTTAACCGCTGTGTCCAACGTTATCCAACTATCTTCATTTTATTTTTTTTAACCTCGCTGCCAACTTAACCTTTGTTCACATTTCCCGTCATTCATGTCGTAAGCGCCCCCGTGAGGAGTGACGTAGGGAGTCATATTGCCAGAAAAACTGGTTAGAGTGCCTTGTTTTTTTATTTATAATGTCAATAATTGTATTCCTCTATTCAAGAGCACTACACTACTAAAATATACCACGTGGTAGATTACACATCTGTTTGTTTGTGTTGTCTAAGTCAAGGTAAGGTAAGGCTGTCCTAGTTTTAATCATATAACTTGTGCTGTACCAAATGAATGACATTACTGTCTTTTTTTCTTTCTCTATCAGTAGGGGAATTTTCAAGTTTTTGAGATGATTTTGTTTAGTTTTTGGCTCTAGTTGCAGCAATGTGTAAAAGGCTGAACGGGTTATAATTCACTGTAATCCAATTGTATGTAATATTAAATGTATTTTGTGCTAATTCTAAGAAATTGAGTTGTGGAAGAAATGCTTGGCCTACTTATGAAGTGATTTCGTTATGAACAGGCATGAACTGGACATTTTTCTGTAAAGCTGATCTTTGCTGTGATTGAAATACAGAAATATGTTCGAAAGCAATTTTTCTCAATTAAACAGTTGACGACTGGATCAAGGTTCAAGGATTTTGGTTTGGGGTTGTGCATGGATTGCCATGGTTTAATTTGAACCATAACATAGTATTGATTTGCTTTGGACACTTTGTGTTTGGCATTAACTGAAGCATGCACTCAAGGTCAGATTTAGTCAGAAGGTTTCTTTCTATAGAAGGATGTTAACTTGTGTGTTGGTAATACAAACGTACACGTGTGCGAGTATTTTACAGAATGGGACAGTGTGTGTGTGTATGTGCATTTGTCTGTGTGCATGTGTGCGTGTTGACTTTGGCTGTAGCTGGCATGACTAAGCTGTTGCTGGGAAGGAGCTGGGAGGACAGCCTTGTGAGTCATCACCACATCTCCTGGAACTGACTGTTCCCTCCACACCATTAGTACCAGGCCCAAATCTGCAAGGCCTGGTTCACACACACACACACACACACACACACACACACACACACACACACACACACACACACACACACACACACACACACACAGAAAACATAAAACATATTGAAGCACAAATCATGCATGAATGCATTTACACATTCACAGACACCTGGTATTAAAAGCAGGGTCACTCAATGTTGAATTCTTTTTTTTTTTTAGATCCCCGGTTGCTTTTCCAGCGATGTGCATACTGGCAGGACTACTGAAAACCTGACAATTAAAGACATTCATTTTTTTTCTCTAGGCCTTGAGTACAATAAGAACAGTATCAGACTAAAAGAATTCCCCAAAGCCCATGGGACTGACCAGCGCATGACTGTACTAAAAAGATGAGATGCTATAAAACTAAACTATCTTTCACCCAAACCAAGAACAGTACCGTACAAATCTAATTAAAAGGGTTTGTTTACTGTCAGTTCACCCACACATCATTAAAGCTGTTTTATCAAGCCTCAAGTGGTTATGCTTCAAGCTTGTTTTTTTACATTTGGCTTGTGTGTTCTGGTTTGTGTGACTGTGGTATCAGAATGAATGATGAAAGTATTGTAAATACTTCAATAGTTCCTCTGGTTTCCCCTTTCCTTGCATCTCTCGGTTTTAATTCTTGCACTGCATCTTGTTCTCCTTTTCAAGAGATTTTAGAAGATAAAGCAAGACACGTTTTCTTTCCCGTTAATGCATGGCATGATAAAAAAGTACTTCCATTTCACTCTGCACCACTATAGGCCATTGGAAACCTTTTGATTCGGAAGCTGTAAGTGCTGCTAACAGCTGCCAAAAGTCTTAAGCACAGTGAAAACACCCAATACTGATGGTACAATGTCCTCTATTCTCTTCCAGCATGGCTCCACTCCATGCAGAGTGCAATAGCCAGCAGCCAGAAAGCAGAAGCTGAAACACCCGAGGAGGAAACCATGTCTTTGGGCAGCAGCAGCAGCAGCGCTGGCAGCAGCCTGCCTGACCAGGGTTACGCCGCCTCTGAGGGCATGGCTGAGGGCGAGGAGTCGGGCATGGTTAGCTCCCCATCCGACACCCAGCCCACATCCCCAGATGGGAGTTTGTCTCTTAATGGAAGTAGCAGAGGCAGAGGAGACAGACTGCTCGGACCAGTACGAGACAATTCAAGTGACAGCGATGAAGGCTGCGCCACCTGGGGATCCAGACACAGGTAAAAGAGATGCCATGATGGAATAATGGAAGTAGTGGAGGACTCCTGAAAAAAACACATTCTATCCCTTTAAGACGTCTGCACTGACCCCAAGAGAAAATGAATAATTTACAGTTTCTACCTTTATCCTTCATCTATCTGGATATATACTTCCTAGTATTTGCTTTTTGCTGACACCTTCCCATATTCTAACTTAGATCTAGCTGAACCATCGATGACTAACACCTGCACTAAAAAATGTTATTGATTAAATTGCAATATAAACACATTTATAGCAATATAGCCACATTTTACTATGCCAATAGTTATCACCAGGACCAGTTTCCGCAATGTGTTATATTTGAGCTGTAGCCAGACTTGGCACTCTCAAACTCTAGTCCCCGGGCTTCCTTAGTTGTGGTGTCTCGGCCCTTAATCAAAGGCATTTTTGGAATATGAGTGCTGCCCCAGATCACTTTTCAACTTTTAAGGTGTTGTGAAATGTGCATCGTAATGTGCCCCGACCAGAGATCCTGATCACTGCTCTGAGTCAGACAAACTTTATGAATCAAGGGCCTGGCCTGATGCTGCTGGCTGCTCAGTATTCCAGGAAAGCACTGTAACCCCGTTTTCTCAGAACTGTTGAGGAAAAGAGGTCCAGTCCAAGTCTCTCAGAAGACAAATTCTATTTGGTTTGGCCTTCTTGTAGCAATTTGTTATGGCTAATATGCCAGTAACTCATGGGAATGCTTTGTTGAACCCTTGAAGAGAGTGAAGAAAGTTTTAACTGTGGTAATAATACTCTTGAAGTTACATGTTAGAAATACGACAGGCTCCAATGAAAATAAAATTCTACTTTGAATAAGAACAGAATATTTAAAAGTACCAGATTTGTTTTCTCCTTCTTCTACTAACTTTCATTTACCCCTTTGGTTTCTGTGGCAGATTAGTAACGGGAAGTCTGCTGAATGTAACAGCAGCATCAAATTAGCAGTTCATACCAGATGCTTGGTAGTAACTGTTAATAAAAAAATATGGAGTCATGGGGATTAAAGTATAACGGCTGCCAGAATGGATCAATCTCTGTTTTGGATTTCCAATGTTCTTGAACTCTGTGTGCGTGCCTCTTACTTATGTGTGTAGTGGTCTTATAAATATGTTTTCATGTCCCTCCTCAGGCACGATGACATCAGCACAAAGACAAAGACAGGAAGCATGAGAGATTGCTATGAAGATGACTCAGAGGTCACAGCTCAACGCCATCAGACTTTGGCAGATTTTGAAGCAGACATTGCAGGTGAGAGGGAAAGCCACAACAAAAACACAATCTGAAATTGAAGTCGTACTTTTATGAAATACACATCTTGGTGCAGTTTTTATTGTTAGTTTTTTTTAGGCAATAGCCATGGTACTACTATTCTCATTAAATCAAATAAAATGAGCCCAAAATGTTGTTCAATTAAGCCCTTAATCGTTTCCTCTTTTCCATCCCACATAGATATATCCTTGATGAAGAAGATTTCCTATACCATGTCCACAAACAGCAATGAGGTGCCCGTGTCTGTAGTGGACATGGATGTGCCAGTCACAGCCATAGATGAAGTACTGGAGGACTTTGAACAAAACATTGAAGAAAAAGAAGCACGGTCACTTACCAGGACTGAGTCAGCAGGAAGCAAAGGTACAATGAGCTTGTGATAATAATACAGAGCTTAGGCTAGTGTCTTTAACCTTTTTTTCCATTAAATGTCCATGTATTCAGGCACTATGCTATCAATTCAGTAAGGTAAAAAAAAAAACTCACATTTTCTTTATTTTCATTTTGAATTTACGTTTTCCTCCATCTTATAGGTCGAGAATTTTGTCATCAGTCCAGTGCTGAGATACAAAACAAAAACAACAATGCATATACAGCTGCATGCAGTAATAAAGGCATCTGTGCAGATACTAAGAAGGAAACACAGCCTGATCTGCGAAGGAAGTCACTAGAGAACATGTCTCGAGGCAATGAAACGACTAAGAAGATTCAAAAGACACAAACTAAAGAGATGAGTATCAGTGACACCAACAAGGTCAAAGAGGATAAGCGGAGGACAACATCAGTCAAATCGAATGTTGACATGCTGAAACACAGCAAGAACACTGAGATCAAACCTGATCCTGTGAAAAGTATCCCTCAATCTTTTCATGACAGCAAAACTGTTCTTCCACCAACCACTCAAAGATCTGCGGAGATAGATGAAGAGATGCAAAGAGTTTACCAAAATAACTCCAGCTTGAACACATCATACAGTAAAATCACTCGTACTGTCACATCACGCTTTGGTATGAACACATTCACCGTGGTTCCTCCCAAACCTCCCGTCATCCACGCTGCTGGAGAGCCGGTGGTCAATTTAACTGCCGGTGCCATTAAGATCGACGATCAAGGAAACATGGTGAAGCAGGGCACTATCTCCCGGAACATATTCGCTGGTTCATCAGAGTCCGGCATTAATGGTAGTGAGATGTCTCCACTTCTTGGAAAAGCCAAAGCTTTTTGGTGCTCGAATGAGAGACAAGAGAGTGCCTTTCCCCCCAACAAAGGTTCCATTGATAAAGTTAAAGAAAGCACAGATGGTCTAAAGAGTTCTCATACTGCCAGCTCAGAAACTACACTGAAAATCAATAACACTGATGACCTGAAAGTGACACAAACTTACCTTAATAAACCTTCAGTGAGAGTCCAGCCTAAAGAGATTACTAAAGAAGGAGCTAAAGAACTGGTGAAAGACATCAAAGTTGCAAAAGAGGAGCAGGTAGAAATGGAGAGCAAGGTTTCAGTGTCCAAAATTGTTCAGCAGCCAAGTACTAAACCTGTCCTTCCTCCCCCTATACTTCCCAAGCTGAAGAAAGATCTGTCCTTTGTCAAAACATCCAGACGGACCTCCAGCCAGTACGTGGCGTCTGCCATCAATAAATACACCTCGAAGACCGCTGTTAAACCCAATTTCATCCCCAACGTATCTGACTCTTCTGCATCTATGAAAACACAGACTTTGGGGTTTCAGAGATCAGGTCGGTCCATACAAGTGAATCCACAACTGTCTTCCCAGTCATCATTGTCGGAAAACAAAGAAAATGAATCTGTGTCTAAACTCCACCCTCCTGGTCCGAAAAGGTCCATAAGCTATCCAGAGTACATGTCAGATAGCCAGAGAGGTTTTGGAGAAGTGAGACCGGACAGGGGAGGTTTTGAAAGCAGCGTTGGGTCCACCAAAGGAATATCAATTACACTGGAAACAACCAAGAATAATCTTATTCAGTCCGGTGGCCCCACCCAAATACATGTAACAGCCAATAATCAAAGAGATGATTTAAAACATATTCCTCCCAGAAGCCCAAGCCCTTTGCGAAGGAGTACAGTACACTCATCTGCCAAACCACCCACTGCACCCAAGATGGTTTCCCAAGTCCTGACACGTGTGAGTATAATGGGTTATTGTGAATATTTTATTTTTTTGGGAATGCATACTTTTAAGATATCGTCTTAAACCTCCAAATCTTGTCTTCAGAACTCAACGGACACGACTAAGACAACCAACCATCTAACACCTGATGTAAAACCACAACGTTCCGAAACAGTAACAGACAGTGCCGCGACGACTGGGCCTCCCTCGCTGACACTGTTTGGGCCGGTTAAAAAGTTCAAACCCGTGATCTGTAAATCTTTTGATAAAGAGACGTCTCTGCACAGCAACCTGATGGAGGCAATCCAGACAGGTGGAGGCAGGGAAAGACTCAAGAAGGTGAGATCAAGACGGCATGGCTGGATAGATGAGTGTATGAATGAATAGTTGAAAGAGACAGTGATCAGAACTCCCTATTGGAAGTAAACTATTGTATAGCACTTATCTAACAGCTCTATAACCATTCTCAGCAAAATGTCCATGTTGGCTTTGGCTAGAAGACAAGAAAGGAACATTTTTTCCCTCTTTTTATTTCTTTTCATAGTTAACCACTTCAGGTCCCAGCAGCATGAAGAAAGCATCTCATGTTGAAGAGGAGAACGAGAGGTGTGCTCTTCTGGCTGCCATCAGAGCACAGAGCAACTCAGGAAGGCTGAGGAAGGTACAGTACTCCATTTATCAAGTGTCACTCCCTGACTGTCAATATCAATAAGGGTAGTAAAGCATTGCCCTGTGTCAAAGGATGATTGTTTGTTTGGACAATGATTAGACCATCCACTTTAACACTCTTTGAATGTGTCCACATAAATCCTCAAATGGAAGTTTTTCTTTTTACACATAAACTAAACTTTTTAGCCACGTTGACTTTCTTCATTCAGACTGCCGTGGTATCCTGAAGACAAATCCCAATGCCTTTGTTGAACAAATGCTATCATTCAGTTGACAAATTTGGTTCAGTTAGAAACTAACTATTAAATTATATTCAGCTCTTGACACAGTTTCAGGAAAGCCCTTTGAACCTGCCGCTGGAGTGTCCATGCTTTCAGCCATTAGTGCCCTTTCTCCTTATTTGTCGCCATTTTCTACTTTTTATCAGACATTATTCTCAATTAGTAAGCTACCTATATTACGCAACAGCGCTGTGAAAATGGTCTTCTCGTATCATAACAACAGACTATCGCCGCCTGGCATGGAGAGTTATTTCCTCTTAGGCATGCGCAGAACGTACGTGGTGGTTGGCCGTCAGCTCTAGTCTTTGCAGTGTGTTCGAGAGCAACTGAGGCGACGCGACGAGCAGCCTTCATCGCAGCTGGTTCTTTGCCATCTGATTGGTGTGTCAGGGCCTTTACAGAGCCTCTGGCGTGGCTGTATACTGTTCGTTTGTGCAAAGATAAGGAAAATAAGTTTACTCACTGAACTTTGATCACATAAGCAGTAGGTTAAGAGTGAAATCTGAATGATTGATTTGTTTCTTGTATTGTTAACTAGTAAACACATCACAGAATCGCGCATAAACCAGATTTTGCAAGCAACAGTGTTTATTTCCATTTCTGTGGGTGGACTTTGAGCTGTGTTTTGCTGTCATGTAAGGGCCCATGTGGAATGAAAGGGGCAGACGTGCTGCTGCAGCCGAAACATCTGCGGTTCAATTCTGGAGGTTCCTTACCAGAACTGGAATCTCAGGAATGCTGCATGAATAAATCTGCCTCAAAAACCTTGTGCTTTCTTTAAAAAACAAAAATGGGGATAAATAAGTAAAGCTGCATAAAGGCAAAATGGATTTACACAAAGATCAGTTACATCTATCTCTAAATTTTGATAAAATCTAAATAATATCAGAGCAGAATTAGCACACAAAAATACTTACCATTATGTAGAGCATTTTTTGTATGTGATAGAGGCCGTAAATGTGAAGTCAAATGTGCATATGTGAAAGCAGCTGGCCTCCAGCCTGTGTTTATGTGTCTAGAGTTACCGTTGTCTCCCTCCTTTGTGTCCTACAGACCAAATCTGAGGCAGCTGATGAGCTTGAGAAGTTCAGGAAGGCGTCTGAGGATGACAAGAGTGCAGGTTACCCCTCCTCCCCCTCTCCTTCCTCCTTGACTTGCACTTCTCCTACTGTCTTTACCCCACCACCACTGCGGCCGCCACCAGCACCCATGCTGGCACCTCCTCCCCCTCCCCCTGTCTTGCTCCAGAGAAGCACTGGGGAACATCCAAGTGCTAACGCCCTCGTCAACCCTGCTTTGGCCAGGGAGGCGATGCTGGAGGCCATACGCTCTGGATCTGCTGCTGATAGGCTAAAAAAGGTACAAGTACAGAAATCATACAGCATCTTCTTAACACCACAGAGGGAAGTGTACAGAAGTTTTGAAACCCTGTATCTACTTTGCATTACAACTGTTTGATTTTTAATTCTGCTGTTGCTTCATGAAAGCATTGAATAGGATTGAGGGTAACTTGAACTTCACACACATCCTGTTGGATCAAATAACATTAGAGAGTACTGCCTTTAAAACTGTGTGAATTAGTCTAACTGGGGATAAAAACACAAAGCAGTGAGGAAATTAAAAAATAAAACAAAGACTGAAGGTCTAAGTGAATTATATCTAAATTATTGGATTTTTCTTGATTTTTGCATGAGCTTTGGTTCTCAGGGAGGCATAAATTCACCAACAGAGGCTTTTAGTGAGAGTAATACCAGAGACAGAAAAGCAAATATGCAGAGACACAGCAGAAAGAGGCAAGAGAGCCAGAGACAACAACAATAAAGAATTTGAACCAGTGTGCTTCTTCTTCTTCTTGTCTTTAGTCTTGTCATTCACGTCTTGCCTCGTTTGAAGACATCATTGGCAGAAAGAAAAGCTCTCCTGTCGTGCAGCAGCTGAGAAACTGAAAATAAATCGCAGATTGTTACTCATTCACAGATTCATCTGACAAGCATACTGTGTTCCTCTGTCAGTATTTTCTTTTAAATGCTAAAGTTCATTTTCAGGTCAGCAGCTGTGGAGTAGTAGTTGTTGTTGTTTGAAGCATTTTCATGCCATTTAAATCAGACAGATATGATAGAAAAAATCATGAATTGAATGATTTATTTTAAAGGAGTAAAATAGTCCGATTGTTATTATCACACCCCTCAGATTTGACAATATTTTAATTTAGTAATTTTTTTCCTTTCTGTATCCAGTAAGACTCCACAAAAGCTGATATATTCTTTCCAACATGCCATGAACTATCACCCCTGTCGTTACCAAAGTGGAGAGCTACAAACATGACATGTTTTGTCTCTTTTAACTAGGTCGCTGTGACCACAAAGACAGTCAAAGTGAACGGCCGACTGGGAACAATCCAAGCAACCTCCTCAACACTCCCTCAGCAGTGAGAAGGGAAGGCCAAATCACCTCAACGCAGAATTATTTATCACATTCAATAGCAGTTTTTTTTTTGTTTGTTTTGTTTTTAAGCTAATTCAACAGACATGAGATTGCATTTGAGAAGACGTTATTTAAGATTTTGACAAATCTTATCTTTTACACAATATACATTTCTAAGAATGACATAAAGATATCCACTTGATATCTTTATAAACTAGATGATTCAGAAACTGCTTAAACCAATTAACTAATCTTTAAAGACTTGTTTTAACCTAAAGAGATTTACACATTTGTTTTTTTCAGTGGGAACGTTGCTCCCTTAGTAGCCAAACATTAAAAACATCTGTGTCTTGGGTGAAAATGTGCTGCTCAGTTTGACTCTAACAATAGCTTGCTGGAGAAACTAAATGTCCGTCTTTATAACACATAACATATGCGTTAACATATTTCGCCATCTGTACTTGAATTCAGTGATTTAAACTGGAATGATGTACAAAATGTGTGCCAATGAAAGAAATTAGAATGGTTTATGCTACTTTCACATATTTTTTATAAGTTAAGGATGCCTTATGCTGTTGCTCTGTCAGTGTTATGTAAATTATGTTCGCAGCAAAAGCTCTTTATGGGGTGCAATAAGTTTGATCTGATGATGTTCCCAGATTTGAAATATTATTTGTTATCCAGATGACAGAAAACTTGAGTTCTGCTGAGAGAGAGAGAACTGGATCGAGACATGATTTTCAGTGTGTCATGATGCCAACTTCTACAATACTTTATTTTGAAGGCGAGTAAGAAGGTGGTGACACAAGTGCCTGTTAGCTCAATGTGCAACTGTTTTAGCTGCTAGCCTTTCATTTATGCTGCTGTTTAATGTCTTAAGACTTTTTCAGGCATGGTCAGTGCCCTGCAGAAACTAATTTTGTATAGTAGACATATTTGACTGACAGTGCCTTTAATGTTCTTTAATGTTTCAGAAATTAGAATTACCCATTAGAATCTTTCTGTTTCCAAATTTTGAAAGCACTGTTTTGACGATTATTAATGGTGTAAGTCACCATGAGCAACAAGATCAGTGAAATGAATGAAGTCATTTCCAATGGCCTTGATTTCAGAAGGTGTCTTTGCAGTACTTTCAGCGCCTCTGTAGGTGACATTTACAATATCAGGTTGCTTCAACTGATAGAGGAAGAGTGAGCACTTCTATGAGCGTATCGTTTTTTGGTAAATCTGAATTTTTCTTTAGAGTAAACATATTCAGATGTTAATACTGGCTGCTGTGGATTGTGTGCTTTAACAAGCAAAAGGAGTTTAATTTAAGGTTTTAAAAAAGAGATGTATTTAACTTATGCTAAGTTCCAACATACAAAAGAATTACCGTTTCGTTTGATCCCGAGAGTAAACAGCATTTCTGTTTTTGTTTCTCTTTGTATTACCAGAGGAGATAATTTCATTTCTGCTGAATGTTCCCTTCTTCACACAATAGCCTACAGCACATTGTAGCATTGTATATTTTTGTAAAGAAAAGATTTGATTGGAATCTGATAGAGAGACGTGTCACTGATAGTTTGAACATTTTATAAGCTTGTGCTTTCTGAGTTTAAAGTGCACATTGTTGTTTTTATTTTGGGAAGGTTGCACACACCTGACTTTTGATTCAATAAATAATAATTTTGCAATCAAGTGTAAAATGACATTCCTGTACATTCTTCCTCACTAAAACTACTTTTATGGTACTGTGAACCTTGCCCTGGAAAGCATCATGTGCCTGTATTCTGCGGTCACCTCGACGTCCTTATGAAATATATTGTGGCCTCTCTTTCTCTCTCTCTCTCCCTCTCTCAGTCTCTTTTGACCGCCCCACAGATGGGTGACTATTCCAGGCAGCAGGTCATGGTCTTGACTCATCACTACATGGTCACTTGAAATGACTTTCAACCTGCGTTCCTGATTCCTGAAACACCAGTCATTTTGCCCCTCCACCTTTCAGTCGCTACTAAATGATGCAAACACCCACATCTGTTGCAAAATCACATGGAAAGACAGTGATTATAGGCAAAGTGGTGGAGAATTTGTAAATGCTTTATCATTAGTCTCCAAGTGTGGTGTACACACAAAACTCTTTTTATGGAGTCCCTCATCACCAAAAACACAAGTTCCCTTTTAACAACCAACTTTCATTTTAGTGCAAAGGTGTTTCCAGTAAAAAAGACTGCACTTCCGTGGGCCTTGTTTTCAGGGATTTCATGAGCAGTGCAGGGTTTGTTAAGTAAATAGTAGCAGTGAGAGTAAATCAGAAAGTGCACGAGTGTGATCTTGGCTGATTTATCCAGGGAGAGCTGTAAATTCCTGCAAAGGACCACAGGCTTTTTTGTGGGTCAAAATTCATGCTCACTCTCCAACCATTTTAATCTGCCTTACAAATCAGGGGTGTTTTTTCGGGTGGGTGTGAGTGATATTTTTGTTGTGAGTACGTGTGTATTTTTTAGCGTGTGTCTGTGTAACAGTTCCAAACCATTTTAACCATACCGCCAACGTAAACAACCCCTGAAACGAGAATTACCAGAAAATCTCACCACATGATACAACAAAAATAAAGTCATTTAGGTTTGGCTCTGGCTACGCCTTTACAAACTTTATTGGTAAGTTTGTATTTGTTGCCATAACAGATTCACATGCAGGCCTAAGGCAGAGAAGATAGGCAACATGTCGTCATGAAATCATAAATCACTTTGAATATGATGTTAAAATGTCGTGTTATGGCAGAATGCTAGTTTGACATTTGACTAGTTTGACATTTGATATTTTCTGCTTTTATTGCTCACAGTTACGAGATAAAATGAGAAGAATAAGTCTTAACTTCCCTTCCCCCTAAAAGCATACTCATCTATGTTCCTGTGAGACACTAAAAGAAAGCTATTCACCAACTGCCTCGTCTTATTTTATATAGCTTTGTTAGGGTTGACGTCGACTTCTGAGTGATGGACACAGTGTCGTCAGCAGGGGTTTGTGCTGACTTTTGTTTTCTTATGTGTGGTAGTCTACTATTTTACTAATCAATCAATAAGAACAAAAAGCCTGTGTGATTCTGCATGTCTGATGAGGTGAAATCAACATAATGTGTGTTAAGATCATGCCTGAGATTAGGGGGAAAAAAAGCTTTGTTGCAGGGTGGCACACTGAACATGACTGACATGATGTGTGTTTGTATGCAAGTATGTGTGCGATGCAACGGCTGTAGAATGTCTGCTTTTGGAGTGATTGTTTATACATTAAGGGGGCACAATGTGGCCCCCTGTTGTCCTCCAGCAGACACACACACACACACAGACATATACACACTCTCTCACACACAGCTCAGGACTAATGACCTTTTGCACTCCATTGTGTGTTCTCATCACTTTGGCTTCTCCATGAAATATGACAGCCTGCATGTTGATGTGTATATCTATTTATAGTTTTATCTCTTTAAAACTGTAATCATGAGCTCAAGTTTCACTTCATGATGTTGTTCACGGTCATAAAAACAGCGACAGGTCTTGTGTAATAGTCTTTCCACACTCAGAGGGACAAAAACATAAATGTTCAGGGAAGATAACTCTGGTGCAGTGAGATTTGACCCCCAGTTGTGCAAGACGCATGCCTCCTGGCCACCTGTGTTTTTATGTCTGATTGTGTTTTTCAGAGCACAACTTTGAATAAAAAGATGTGTCCTTAACTTGGTGTATGATAATAATATATATATACAATGTGATCACATTGATTTACCAATTTAGTCCAAATATATCAAGTACATTGAACAATGACATACACATGCTCTTTGTAACAGCCAGGAACACTTACAGTATAGTTTAGCTATGACAGCCATAACCTTACATGTCCAGTTCTTACAGTGCCACATGCAACTGATTGAGATTAAATGTTCTGCCAGTAAATAGTTTTCTCTTAACATTTTAAATATTCACAATGATTAAACATTTTGGGTTTTTTTGTTTCATCACACTACCCAGTGATGTTGATGCAGCAGGATTCACCATAACAGACTGCCGTTTTCATGAACACAAATTGAAGAATTGAGAGCATGGTTAAAGTATTTAAAAGAGAAAACAGATCTGGTTAGTCCATGTCTTAAAGATTGATAAAGGAAGGTGGTTGTAGTGGTGATATCTTATAGTCTATAAATAACAAACATTCCAAACAAATTAGAAACTTAACACAAACTCATAATAAAGCCACTGAGGCACCTAGAGGGCGAATCTTACGCAGAATATATGAATAAGTCCATTGTCCAGGTGATGATTGAAGGTTTTAGGGTGCTTTATTTTATCCAGAGACATCAAGCAGGCAACAAACAACAAAAAAACGCTGCTGTCTCTCTTGCCCTGTCATCCTGCCATTGCGTCCTGGCTTCCTGGTAAAAAAAAAAAACCCATTAACCCATTAGGTGCCTACCTGAGTCTCACCTGGCAACCTTTTAGACACACCCATGTACAGACTCCACCCTTATGCCCCAAGTAGCAAAATAAATGAATGGAAATAACTCATATGAATGTAAACAATAATAATCAAAATACCCAGAACATAATCTAATATTCATATGTATCCCCAAAATATCCCAAAATAAGAATATAGACTTTCACTTAATTTAGGAACAGTGAATAGCTGTAATAGTGGTAAACTAAAGTCATGCCAAACAGAAAAAAAGCAGAGAGAAATGATTGGCGATATAGCATCTTCCTGTCTGTCTTAAAACCTTTTTGTTAAATTAGCTTTTCTCAACAGTCATTTCTTGACTGTTGAGACAGCCCCTCAAAAAACAAGCGGAACCCTCTGAACACACCCTTATTCCCATAAGACATGAACGCCGCATTAATCACCCCTAACTTGTGGGCGTGGTCACTTCTTAAGGGGAGGAGTTGTTTGCAATGCGCGTGTGTTTGTGTGTGCGTGTGTGTGTGTATGTGTGTGTGTGTGTGTGTGTGTGTGTACTCCCCGGCCCGCATGAGAGGAGCTGCCTGCAGTCTTTGCAGCCACTGTTTTCGTCTCCTCCTCTCCTCTCCTCTCCTCCTCCTATACTCCTCGCCTCTGTGTGTATCAGTCCAGTCCGGGAATGTTGACCACCGTGGCCTGATCCTCCTCCTTCTTCATCTCCTGACTGCCACTCTGCGTGGAATTGTCTCTGACTTGTCGGAGTCTTCCTCAACTCCTCTGGCTTCTAAGGTGAGTAGCACGTTGCCGTATACAGACGCTGCTGTCGCGCTTGTTTCCACGGGGAGTGGGGCAGGGAGCGCGTGTAATAAAAGTTTAATGTGTGTGTCTTTTTCCTTTTGAGGAACACTATTTTGATCCCAACAGCCTTCCTTGTTTACAATTGCGTAACAGCAGTCTACAGTGGCCGATAGCCTATTTTCTATCCGCGCTCCCCCGCATGACCCCCCCCCAACTTAATTCTGTGAGAGTTTCGCCAGTCTCGCCTTATCGCCTTATCCCTTTGGCAGCATTTGCTTTGGGGGTGGGGAGGGGGGACAGAAAAGAGGCGTTTTCCCAGGGTTACTCATGGCAGTGGTTCCCAAAGTGTGGTCCGGGGACCCTCCCAGGGGTCGTTGGGTGGGTTCCAGGCGGTCCCAAGTATAGCCTAAAGTGCGGAGTTGAATCAGTTTTGGTGCCGCTGCAGATTAACTCAGGGAAAGGAATACGTTTTTAATCACAGAGCCACTGTTTAAGTGTCAACAGAGCACTTGCTAAGCTCTGCTGGAGTTCAGAATCAATGAAAAAGCAAAAAGTGCTCCCACTGGGAGTGTGATTAAAAAGTCTTATAATGTGGGTTTTTTTTTCTTAAAGAATCCCTGGCCTATTCACTCATTTTCAATCCTTTACTAAATAAAGATATGACTAGAAAACTGTAAGTGCATAATGTTACTCCTCTGTTATGTAAACGGCTTTTTGTTCTTTCATAGTTTACGTCGTCCTTTTGGTAATAGTTTTTTCTTATTTAAAAAAAAAATCCTCAAAAGACTGTGCTTAATGATGCTAACGCTAACAGAAAATGATAAGTAATGTAGAGAAGGAGAAGGCCTGATCATTATCTGATCAAAATAAATGTGCTACGTCTTGACAAAACAGCTCTTCAAAGATAGCCTAATCTGCACTGTCATTTGGGCACTCCTCCAAATCAATTTCTTTATTGGCTGCATGTGGTCTCTGCAGAAAGTTGCATAACCAGCCAAATTTATGATTCTGGGAACTATCGACGTCTGCCTGTGTTTTGAATACAGATGGGGGCTCTCACTGGGAATTTGTGGACTCAGACTGGAAGGAGAAACTCAGGGAATTATGCACATGACGAGATTTTGGAGGTGCTGCATACCAAATCTGATCTGTCAGTGCACATTTTCAAGAAAGATCATCAGATTTAACGGGTCATCTGCTGCAGTTATGGATTCAAGGCTCATAAGTATGATGAAAAGGATGATGATTCCATTAACTATATATTATTGATTTGAAGTGAAAACTTTCATGCATTCAAATAAAGTAATGATAAACACTTTATTTTTGTGTGTAAGTTGACATAGATTTAACTTATTGTATCACGTGGCTGTATTACTTTATCTTATATCGATTGCATGCCCCAAAACGGACCAAATCAAAAGAAAATCTGATTTTTGATATCCGCACATATTGTCATACGTTGTTC